ATGGCTGAAGAGCAGAAGGCTTGGAATATCCTTTGAAGGTCGACCTTAAACTGCTCTTTGGTGGATGCCGGAATTTGCAAAATCGTGAATATTAACGTCGCCGGAGATGAGCATACCACCCTGTCGACTTCGTAGGAACGTTCCATTGGATAATGCTAGGCAAAGACCATATCTGTGGTGGATATTATGGGAGGATAAACAACGGCCAAGAGGCTAGTGTCGTAGCGTCTTAGTCGCGGACTGCACCTGAGTGAGTCTAGGATCAGTGTTTTCCCATTGGCCAACGGTTCGCAGTGCAGGTCGTTGCGGTAGTACAAAAGGACATCCACACCTTTTCTAGCGCATGGTTTCGGAGAACGGACATACCATGTATCGCGAATTCGGCATCCGTAATTTCTTATTGCAACCAGGTTTCCGTAAGGAAGATGAGATCCCAGGCATTTGAGGTTTGATGTATCCACATTTTGGAAAGCTTGTTTTCAAGGGTTTTGTGCATTAATGCACATGCAGAAAAGTTCCTCTGCTTCTATCAATGAATCATGAGCTTGAAGTTTTGATTTAAGTGTTTTGCTGACCGGCGAAAGTTCGGCTGATAACAATTATTTTAGTGGAAGGATGACGAACTCCTAAGTGTCCGATTCATGGATCCTGGCATTACCTCTTTGCTTCTCTCTTTGTATGAATGTACGGGGTGCGTTTGCCAGTTTAGTTGGCTAGTTGGTTAAAGTTATCCTAACTCTTGCCGATAAATCATCTGACTAAGTAACTGATCTCCAGTGTTTGCTAAGTAGATGCTGCTTTGTTTCGGAGCACGGAATTATGGCTGCTGCGGCCGGCAAACCATTACTCAACTACCATTTATGAAGTTGGCTAGATTGAAGGACAACTTTCAAAAATCTCGAGCCACATTTATTGTAGTTTGGCCATCAGAGAAGCTTTGAGCTTAAAAGCCATATGACGTTTTCCAAAGAAACGGTTTCTCAAATTAACTGCCATTGTTCCTGCTCGTGAGTGGTCGCTTCGCGCGCACAATTAATTTCAGCCTCAGGAACACCGTGTACAAAGCTGGTCTTTGCTATGGATTCATTCCGGTTTTAGCCCATGTAAGTTTTCGCCTGTATAGGCTCGCTCCACTGAATATCCGTGAATAGGCGGATGGAAAAGGACCCATTTCGGAAGCGAGCTGTCGATATCAGGACAGCTACTGCATCAATGGCGGAAGAAAATACAACTCAGAATAGTCTTGCAATACCCTAGTACTATGAGTTTGGGTGACGCGTAACGCGTATCAAGTTTATGGGCTCAGTTGCAACACATTTTTTTGTCACTTATGGAGATCCACTGGCCCAGCTCATCGATTTGAAACTTATTTGTAGGGTGAACGAGGTGCTGACTGTGCTCATTGCAATCCGAATGACGTTGGTTGTTTCAGGCCCATTTGAGCAACTGCTAGTATTGACGTTTTATGCCAAGGTTGATGCAATTTCAGGGAGCTGCCTCCCCATCTTCCTCAAATGTAATGCAGGACATGATGGGTTTGCTTGCGGGTGATTCTGTCAGCATCGTTGACTACCAAATGGTAGTAATGCATGTCGACCCACGGATATAAGTAAGATGACTGGCTTTGATCAGCTGCGTTATCGTTCGGTAATCAGACGAATCCACTTTGTTCCTGAACTCCTGGCAGGCAAACCAAAAATCATGTATATTCAAACAACCTTCGTACTGCTAATAAGATGTGAACAAGGCCACACCTTCATCATATTGCAGAAGGTACTCCAAACCAAGAGACCAGTTCTTCCAATTTGCAAAAGTACGATTGTGTTGATTCCATCTGATAGGATCGTTTCAAACATCATAGGAGGTCGAGGTGTACGCGGCACCCTTGGTGCCGTCGACGCAGGTGCCATACGATGCCCCCTAGCGCCGCCGCTGCTGCTGCCAGCTGCCCCCGGGCTCCCACCACCGCGATCGCTGCGACCATCTGCTTCATGACACAAACGTGACGTTTCAGGTGGGTAGCTCATTCTAAGTATTCGCTCTTCGGATGCTATCTGATGGCATCCAACACACAAGTCGGGATCACCAATTATAGCGCAAAGATCGTGCGCTATGTATCCAGTAAGAGACAAGACGGCCAACGAAAGGCACTGGGAAGAACACACAAAAGTTGAGCTAGGCAAAAAGTTAAAGTTGGGTTTGGAGAATCCATTGGTGCCAGTGTTGGGATGAGCAACACTTTAATGTTTCCATTTTTACTCCCAGTCTTTGTGATCGGAATGACCGAGGTTCACCTCAAGTGAACGGAGGTCTCAATAGAGGTTGCTTGTAGCAACCCAACCACCAGCGGATTCTCCAAGCCCAACTTTGCATTCGTTTCCGCTGGTCCAAGCGTTGCTCGTGGATCTCAGTGGCTTAGTGCTTATGGCGTCCACCATGAGCCACTAGGCTCTGGGTTTCAGCCCAACTCAGGCTATCTCTTAGGGTGCCATTGTTGGGATGAGCAACACTATAATGTTTCCATTTTTACTTACGGTCTTTATGATAGGCAAAATGTTTATTGCACCAAAGGATAGTTGGCTAATGTTAAAAATATGGCACCTGAAGAGAGCTAGCTAGGGAAGGTGTAGTTGGGCGTGGAGTGCGTGGACGGAGTGTCGTTTACAGTGTAGTCTTGAACGCCGAAGGCGGATATCGTGTTTGTGTTTCAAACAAACCCGCACAACATTCCAACAGGCAAATCGCCTAATCCCCTAATACAAAAGAAAGTTAGAATTTGACATATTTTAGGCTAGTTTACAAAGTCATACGGGGGAATCGCTAGGTCACTACAACAGTTCAAATCGTCTATTTTTGCCAGTTCTGGCTTAGGCTGTGCAAAAGATCTTTGCTGGTACTCACAAGTAATTACAGTAGCATCTATTAAGACCTGTGGTGCGTCGCAACGGCGCTGTCATACGGCACATCATCTTGCTGCCAGGACAGATAATTTCATCCCTGGCTTAAATAATTGCAACTCTGTGTAACTGGCAGTCTCGATGTAACAGACCAAACTTTGGTCATGGGTTTAAGAAGGTAATCACTCCCGCTACATGCAATAACACGTCTTTCCCGTAACCTCGTGTTCAAACAACGGATGTCATGTGAAAAGACAACAACATTAAACTTGTAACAGTTTCTGCTTCGTATTATTCAATTGTTTATCATACCATGTCATGCTACGTTACCCGACACGTCCCAACTACTAAAATTCCGAGTTGGTTGACAAACCGCTGATCCAGGCTTCACCAACTTATTTCCAAATGATCAAATCTCCTCCATTTACATTTGAATGCAACAGAAATCTGATATACACACGCTTGGCTTCGTTGAACCGGCGATGGCTTATAGCATTCTCTGTAACACGAAAGCTTATCTTCATGAAGTCTGGAGTGCGTTGTTGTGAGTAACAGCAAAGAAACAGAGGAAACTCGCCGTCACCGTCTTCTGGAAAGGCACGTTTTTGCAGTCCGGCAAGCTTGTACCAATGGCCCACATAAGATGCATATAATATGAGATCAAATCGGACTAACTATTAAATAAGCAAGGATTTCGCATCCAGAGAGCCCTGTAAGTCCATCGCCTTTTATGCTTGCACATACTCCGTTTACGACCTTAAGCTCTTATGATCATCGATCATCTCCGCAAAAAATATTCGTAGCAACCTATTTCTGACGGACTTTCTGGTCGGATACCACACTAAATACGTTGAAGCATTTTCGCTTTCAGTAATTTCCAAGCTAAGTTTCATAGTTCGCTTCGAAAACCGGTCATCACCCTTTTTACTGATTGCACATTCCATTCATCCATCTTCCAAGGACAGCCCCACAGTAACATTGGCCTCTCCTCTTGTTTACTTCTCTGCATTTGGTTTATTACTCGTACACATTTTTATTAGATAAATGTGCTGTTACTGCTATCCGGATTCCTATAGTTTTACTTTCATGTGTCATTGTTTGCTAATAATATCTGGTTGACCTCCTACGAAATACTAGACAATTAACACACAACATTTAATCGTGATCTAAACATCATTCCTACCTGAACAATTAATCTGTGCACAAATAACTGACGTAAATACCCGCCATATGCAGGCCGTCAAAATGCTACCTATATATTTCTGCAGAGAGATGAAAATTCACCTAATGGAACTGAAAACACACTGAAAGAAAATGTTTTGGTTAATTTAACGATCGGATATTGCCTAAGGGATCGTTTAGTGATTACATGAAAGACTTCTGTACAAATGCGTTTAACAATATGCAGGAAACACTTAAGGAGGAGCGCTTTGAACATGAAGTATTTGATAATCACCGATTCGGTTTTGTATCTGTTGCTTTGCTTTGTTACCAACTTTAAATTTGCAACCAACGCATGCCCATTTTCTCCCCAAGGTGATGACGAGAAACATTAATTATTAATGCATTCGTCAAATATTTTCAATTATCTTTTATGTCATTTTATGCAAACAAGATATAAATAACCAGGGATGGTTGTATGGTCATTTGTCCCCGCATGGATAGCTGTCACCAGTGAAGAATTGCAACTGTATGTCTTTATTCTGTGATCGAAACCCTCCTTTGTACTGCACGCATGCAAGCACATTGCATTTCTCGTCGTAAAGCTTGTAGGTTAGTTCGCCTTCCATCTAAAATAGGAAATCATTAGTTTACTTGCATTTGTACTGTAACCTTCATCAGTAATAACCTTAGTCAAAGCATAAATTTAGCTCTTCATCAATCACTAAATGAGTAAAAAGCAACTTTTGGATAATATCAACGACATACCGAAGCATCCGGTGCGAAGAACGAGTTATTATTTGTGTACACACCACCTCTTTTGAGCGGACATTCTTGTTCCATGCGGTCACATATATCGGTTACGCCTGCCATTTGTTTTAAGCACAACCACAACTGTGAGTCGCTTATGCAAAATTTCGCCTTTCCAGCACGAACATTTCTTCCTAAACAAACATGATGAAACATTGCAATCACAAGAAATGCTGACTTTGGAGCCTTGAAAAGAGAATTATTGACTCGAATAGCGAGGACAACGCTACGGATCAGGTAACTAAGGTTCAGTATTCAAAGTAGCTATACAATCACGGCATTGTTTTGCGTTAGTTCAGGGCCATACATGATAACGGACTAAAGCTCGGAAATGAGATATGGGTTAAAGAAAATAAATCCGCGTCAAGTCGCTTGAAATGAACTTTGATTAGTTGTTAACAATACTGATCCTTAATCATTGTCCGGCTAAGAAATTTGTTCACAAAGACGGAAAATCCTGAGAAAACCAGTCCTATTCTAGAAGAACTTTCTTACTTGCTTGGAAAGTGATTTCGGAGTTTACAAATGTACCTCCATCAATGATACAATGCGCCCCGTCGCAGCTCGACATAGAAGCGTCAATAAGCGTGTTGTCCTTAGCTGTAATGTTCAGAAGAAAAGGCAGGATGTAAACTGCGTCAAATTGGCATTTAATTGGGCTAACTTGCATCACACTATTTGTGACAAAACACCTGAAGCTACTATAATCATAAGTGTAAACTTTAATCCATAAAACATGTGAATAGCCCGTGATAAATCGGCATGAAGTGACTGGGTCACGGTACACTAGTGGACTCACAGCAATCACTGTAAAACCTCTTCGCCTGCAACACAGCGGGTACGATAATCAGTAAGACAAAAATCACTACGAAAATCTTGACCTGCATATTTTTTGAGGTATATTTTTCGCATGTGACGTGCGTCATTATTTATACCTGTCTTTGTCGTATAAGCAGTGTACTGTGTATACATTTTTTGCTAAGTAGCGCACCGCGGTACTTATGTCGGTCATAGACAATGTATATTGTGAACTGTTCGCCGCTGATCTAAAAACAAAAAGGGAAACATTCTGCTGAGTTTGAAATCAATTTCTGAATCAAAACAACCAGTGCACTTGCAGTTATACGGTAGAGGTCTATTCTGTTTTCATAATAGCCTACGTGAGGTATATATGTTAAAAGTAATTGTTGTTATTGTTATGGTCTCCCATTTCAGAGTTTTTACCAAATGAGACGTTAGGCATATAACTTGTAAACTTAACAACAACACTTTAGCACTGTCTTGCTGTAAAGCATACATGGTTTGTTACATATATTGATTAAACCACCGCTGACTTTCCGGTCTGAAAGACATGCTAAAATTTGTTTGACTCCATCATATTGCTACACTGAGTGTTCGGTTAGCAAATTTCTTGGTTTAAATAAGCGTATAACTTACAATAGTGTATTGAAGTATAACAAAGCGACTAAGTGGTCGGTAAAACACGACGGAGTATCTTGTAATAGTCTATGGTATATATGGATGATAATCCAAAAATTTCACGCCAGTACATTTAACCAGGACCATCTCGACGGCGCAAGTGTTGTTATTAATCTACTCAACCCAACATTGACCTCACAGTATCCAACCATAAATGTTCGTTCACTTCCACTTTCCTCCTGCAATGTAAATATATAAAAGTATATAATACAGAGGTTCTCAAGTGATCCCCCTTGTCAGTGACTACATCAAATTCTCACAGTATCTTAGATTCGGCCGAATTCGGTCCTACACCACAAACTTGCTACTAGCTCAACAAGCTGGAGAGAGTGGGTCGGTGCCAGATTAGGATTAGACGTTTTCTAACTAGACTTATTAAAATTATTCGCGTTAAAAGTTTCAAAATATAGAATTTAAGTGTTTATTGCAAGTTTGATTAACAAATCTTTCATTCCCTTTCAACTGAACCTGAGAGTCCTCACCCCCAATTCCGCATAAATTGGAGTGCAATGTGGTGTACCTAAGGAATGGGATCGGGGCCCACATTTGTCTCTAGCCATTATCAACTATATTGCTAGTGCGCTTCAATAGAACTTTTTAAGTTTTGCACCTTATGTCAATATCTAGCATGATATCCATTCAGTGGGCCATCACACGGCATTGCGGATGGATCTCTCTAATATCTATACGTGATCTTCCGAAAACCGACCCCAGTTCAGCATGGCGAAATTCCATTGGAATACTTAAGCAAATTGACTTCGGAATCGAAACTCGCAATCTGCTTTGCAGGATAGTGCAAACTGGGTAATCATTCAAGTTAACCTTAGCTGCCCGAAATAGGCTGCAAGTGCATCAAGAATAGCAAGATGGTCTCCTATGGAAGACGTTCAGGAATATCGAGTTATCCATATTTTGCAAATGTTGAACGCCAACCTTAGGACTCATGTGATATAAGCAATCCAAGCCTAGAGAAATGCGGTGCCAAAACGCTTGAGGTTGAAAAACAAAGAGAGCCTAATATCACTAGAAACGTTTTCACCTCAAACTGAGAATCCCAGCAGTCGACAATGTGATTAACGGCGTATACAAGAAGTTTTTACCACACTACGGGTAATATTGTTAAGCCTTGGGGCCATTTGCCCTAACACCAAAGTGTTAGTCTACTACCACAGCCGGACGACCACAATAGCATCGATTTGGTTGCAAACAAAATGTTTTCATCCACCGCGTGTCACGAACATGCAACGCACCTCCAACACACGTCATTTTGTATTCAGATTAGAGCATTCTATAAGACAACGCCAATTTATCAAACTTCTATTGCAAATTGGAAAGGACTGGTCTACTATACACAATGAGAAAGAGAACTTTGTTTAATACTTCAGGTCGTATACAGGATATTACCTCTGGTTTCCACTATCTCTTAGTGACACATTAACGCATTGCTCGATTGAAAGTGCTAAGTAACATTTTAAAGTCATACGGTTTGGTCTAATTTTTCCAACTCACAGTTGCGTTTGAATTCATCTTACAACCACACACTAAAATTCTGACACGCGTACATGGAATTATATTAGTTTACATGTATCGCATCCCTTTTTGTATTCTGCCATAATCATTTTACGTCACTAGTTTTTCTAGCCGATTTATGCCATTTTATAAATACACCATTTTGTAGTCGCATACTGTTTGCATAATGGTTTACCAATAACTCGTTTCTTTATTCATACCGCGAATTGTTATGTTTTAGCCGTTAACGATTTTGGTGAAAAGCAGCCATCGTACATATAACCGTGGTAAGGCGCGAATGATTGCATGCCTCCAGACTGCAGTCACCCAGGTATTTCGTATTTTCACCTAAGCGAATATGATAGCATGGTTTTGACCTACAGCAGGATAGGTGTTTTGCATTAACGCCTCATTATCCCTAATTTCTCTCACTAAAACCCTGATTTATTCGCTGGACAACTACTGCGCACTGTATAGAATATACTTTAGGCTTAGCATTCACGCAGTGTGCTCACTAAAGAGAGATCAACGAAAATGATGAGGCAAGCTTATCGGGACTGCTCCACACATGTCGTTCATGCACCATGTTGGACATAATATTTGCTGATCTTTTAGTTTCTGGTGATTAATTAAACGAACGGCGACTAACTCGAATAAACACATCCACTTAGCAGTCGATCAGCCACTAAGGATCGAAACAGACAAAATCATATCCTAATGCCCTGCCGGTTTAATCACTGGAGGCGTCAAAGCGGCGAGAAATGACGCTTAGTCACATCACGTCACTGCTTTTACGTAGGATTCTTAAATTATAGAAACATGTTACCTCACGGATTTGCAGTTTCTTCATTACCTTTGCCGAATTGGTCCCTACGCCAGACGTTATAATGCACAGTGAGCTAACTAAGTCAAACCCGCTTGAAGTAACCTGGTTTTCCACACTTCAACACCTATTTAATTTCATCTTATACTATCCTTCATGGACAATACTCAATTCTTCTACTTGATTGATTTTCTACAAAAATGCTGTTAAATCCCTGATTTCGTTGGGCAACGTAGACTAGAAGGGATTTTTATTCTTCAGATGTTTTGCCCTGCACTTTTTAATACCATTACGCATGTAAAAATGTATTAACTTCCCCCTAATTATATACTCTTGGTCCTCGTTCGTAGTCCGACGTGTTCACTACAGTCGCTAGGCTTATTTAACCGCTATCCGTGCGATTGTTTATTTGAAGGCGATATAGGCCAGTTTGTTAGTAAGCAAATTATCCATTAACTGAAAAACACGATGGCGACGACGCGATGACCTGCGTGTATTTGGACCACTGGAGTCCTATTTCAATTTTCTATTCGAGTCTCATTTTCATAAGTTGCGCTGTCTTGTTCGTGGTCCACGTTCGCTGGCGTCTCAGGTTTTTCGACGTCTGGTTGAGAAGACTGCGTATTCTCAACTACCGTCGGACGGCAAACTTGATGACACCGTGCAGCACTCCAGCGGACCGCCGCCGCTGTACTCTAAACCAATTTCCATTCAGAGTTTTCATTTTGACAGGTGTAAATCCGGACAATGCCGCATTTGTTGTCAACGGACTGTAAATGATTGTCGGCAGTCGTATTACACTGATGTGCGTGCAAATTAATACGACAGTGGAGGCCTACTTCCACAAATTTTTTCTGTCTAATCATCCGCAAATATACTGATGTTCTCCATTTCATCCCCCGCAAAAGTGTTTTTTAGCCATTCCATTCATTGCAAGTGCTTGCCATTTCCAGACATTGAGGCGGTAAAAGTGTTCTACACAATTGGTAATACTTGGGATGAAGCTGCGGTCCGTAACGTGAGCTTCATTGCATATAGGCTGATGTCATAATGTCTTATTTCAGGCTTATATAGATGTGTAAAATCATGAAGATTATTAATGGTATCCAGTATACTAAATATTTGCACTTGCCAGTTCAGATCATCTGCGAGGAGATTTATTGAAGGCAAATAATCAGAGAACTAGGCTAGATTTTAGGGTGCGATATTTTGTGTTTCGTGTAGACAATGGCTTGAATAGCCGAGGTCTAGCGTTAATACCATGCAGCAACGTAGATAAACGCTGTTTTGGTAGGTGATTGTTTAAATTTCCATAACTTTTGTTATCTTATTGGTCCGTTCGCTGTAACCTAGCAATGTATGCTAGTAAAAAGCATCGCTTTTTAATGCAATCTTTCGCAGAATTCGCGGAATGTAGTAAAACATCAAGGTACCGGGGGCTCTGGTTCACTCACTGCTGTTAGAACTGGACGCCTTTGAGGCGAAAGCCTATACCCACATTGGAAGCTGAACTAAACTCAATTTAGATGAACTTGAACGTGCGACGTTTGAGACTGTGCGTTCACCATTTTTCGATGGTTATTTTCCATCCTGTTACTAAACATTGGAATAGTAGACTATATTTGTTGCTTTATAGAAACAAGCAGTTTCCCCATGAATAACCGTTACTTCCTATTGTTATATGAGGTCAAAATGGGACGGTGTACAAGATAAAGCCATTCGTGCCAAAAACTAGGGCAGAAGTAGAAAAAATCGATGAG